GAGCTCAGACATTTACATTTACTTCATATACATCATATAGCTAAATGAATGCAAATGTTTTCACTACATTCTAATAGTGAAGCAAATATCTTGGTGACTTACAATGGACATAATTTTTGGCATGCTTTCTGCTCATCTATTAATGCACATTTTACTATCTACAACATCAGTCCATTAGGCTACTTATTACTAACTTCAGAGTCAATGTTTTCCCCAGTTTAGAGGCATTATTTCCAAGTACAGATAGACAGATTTAACTATCACCTGATAGATATTCAGTGTCTTATCCTTGTAATCAGTTTCTCTGGAAATGAGGCAAGGTTGTTTAGATTTTTCATGGCTTCATTATAACATATTTCCTGTATCCAAAGGGTAATTGGATTTTAAGATATGTTACATATCTGTGACAGCATCTCTTTCTCACTCACTGTCTTCCCTTCCAAGCAGCCTCTGTTACGGCACATATTCATCTGCTAAACAGATGAATTCACAGAATTAGAGAAGAGAGGATAGGCCTGGCCACACCTAAGCAACTTGAGGGTGGGCCAAGGGTTGGGGAGAGAGGGCTAAGCTCCTCTCCTCTCCTTTAGTGAGACCTATGTGAGGTGTGCTAAAGAAAGGTGGACGCTGGACTACGTACCCACCCTGAATCCGTCCCCCTAGGAGGGGGAGTCTGACACTAGACATAAAGTTAGCCAGGACAGGAAAGGTAACATTCTCAGAACAGTTTCACATACAGGGGCAGCTAGATTGGCACAGATTAGGGGTCTCAACATATGGATGAGAAAGTGGTGCTGGGAGGAAGGGTTTAGATTTGTTAGACACTGGCAAATTTCCTGGGACATGTTAATCCTGTACAAAAGTAACAAGCTTTACTTGAACCAAAAGGAAGTGTACTGCTGGCACTTAATATCAAAAAGGTGACAGAGCAGCTTTTAAACTAATCCCAGGGAGAAAACTATCAGGATCTGGGGAGCCTCCGGTTTGAAACAACTCAATCCAAAGGGATAATAATGTAAAAACTCAGGGTAATATTGGTAGGAGCACAATGGGAGTGAGAGTAGGCAGCTCAGGAGAACCAAGGGATAGTGATGCTCCTACCTCATGGTGCATGATGGTTTCACTGGGAAAATGTCACCTTGCACACCAAGTGGGAGGAGCGCTTTTTCAGTCATCAGAAGCTATAAAGTTCTTTCCAAGGCTTGCCTACACATGTGTGCAGGCCCAATGTGTGCCTGCACAGAAGGCAACTCAATGAATAACAGTTACAGGAAAGTGCAGCCCTGTTTTCAAACTGCGGAGGATATGAAGAGACAATGCTGCTGGCTGCTCTCAGGTATCACCTGTTGAAGTTCACTAAGCCTGCAAATATTCCACAGGTTGTGTCACTCTCTATCAGCGAATTTAATTAACTGTACATTTTTAATGAAGATAAAAATATTTTTTTAAAAAAATAACAAGAGGTGAGTCTTTTCTCTAATTCTGTGAGAGTAGGATGGCAAATGTGGGCCATGTGCAGAGACAAAGGGGCTGGGGGAGGCAAGGGTTGTTAGAGATGGAAATGTGCTATAGGTGTCTGCAGGGCTCTTTTTGTAGAAAAAGAGGAACTCATTAGCATAATAGGCCACACCCAACAGCACAAACTCATTAGCATATTAGGACACACCCCTGACAGTGCAGATCTGCCCTCACAGAGGAGGGAGAGTTTGTACCTGAATAAACCTTTATCTTAAAGGTGCCACTGGACTCTTTTGGATTGCTGGCTAGGGGGGGGGGACGCACAGATCTGCGCAGAAAGAAAGGGGCCTCCCAGCTCCCTGCACTTAAAGGGACTCCCTTTAAGTGCAGGGAGCTGGACCCCCCGTAGCCAACCCCCACCCCCCATCAAGCCGCTGCTCCCCCCGCACCCTGCATGGGCGGGCCGGGGAAACTCACCTTGCTTCTTTTTGCTCTGGTGGCCCTACTGAGGGCTGCTGCGAGCAGGGGGCGTGGCCAAGCCAGATCGCAACCGGAACACCATTCTGGTGTGTTCCGCCTGAAAAATAGCCCTGGGTGTCTGTAAGCAGTGCTAGAAGCCTCCAAGATGGGGGATTTGGAGTGCTTGGTGCTAAATGACAATTTAGATATTGGTAGTGTCTCAGAAATATGGTGGAATGGGGAAAAATCAATGAGTTAGTTATCCCTGGATATAAGCGCTATAGGCAGGATAGGGAAGGACATATTGGGGAGGTGTTGCATTGTATATCAAAGATGGCATATCATCAAATAAGCTAGAAAACATTAGGGGAACAAACTCCCCAACAATAGTAATATGGGTGGAATTACTAGGCTCTAAGGGTTACTTAGGGGCCACAATGGTTTAGAGGTTAAGACGCTGATCTGCAGACCAGAAGGTCTGTAGTTCATCAGTTCGAGACCCTAGTGCTGCATGACGGAGTGAGGTTCCATCTCTGGCCCCAGCTCCTGCCAACCTAGCAGTTTGAAAGCAAGAAATTGTAAGTAGGTAAATAGGTACCGCTTAGGTGGGAAGGTAACAGCTTTCCATGCACCTCGGCGTTTAGTCATGCTGGCCACATGGCCACAGAAATGTCTTTGGATAGGGCTGGCTCTTCGGCTTGGAAACAGAGATGAGCACTGCCCCCTAGAGTCAGATTTGATTAGCTTTCAAGCAAGGGAAACCTTTAGGGGTTACTTAAAAGTAGGAATGTACTTTCACCTACAGGATCAAACCCTTGAGGCTGAGATGGAGAAAGACATAAGGGAGGTGACTAAAGCAGTAATGTCATGATACTGGGAAACTTCAACTACCCTCACATTGAATGGGTAAACAGACTCATGGCACAGACTCGGAGGAGGGCTGACGCTGTTTCTTTTGCTCCAAGACACTAAGTCCTTTTACCTCTCTATTTTCTTTTCTTGGAGTCTCAGAGCGGCTTACAAACTCCTTTCCCTTCCCCTCCCCACAACAGACACCCTGTGAGGTGGGTGGGGCTGAGAGAACTCTGACACAAACTGCTCTTTCAGGAACAGCTATGCCAGAGCTTGTGACTGACCCAAGGTCACATCAGCAGGTGCAAGTGGAAGAGTGGGGAATCAAACCCGGTTCTCCCAGATTAGAGTCCGCACACTTAACCACTACACCAAACTGGCTAGAACAAATTCTTTTTAAATACGCTCATTTTATCACTCTTTTCAGCCTTGGAGTTCATGTTTTCTTCTTCTTTAAGCTCTGGTAGTTTAATTGGATAATCAGACTGTGTTTTATACTATCAGAGCTTTTAGAAGCGGCAGCAGCCAAGGAAAACATTGTTGTTGATGATTAAGCTCTACAAAGTCCTACAAAGATAGCTATTGAGACGATTAATCTGAACTGTGAATTTAATTGTGAGCCTAATTTTGAACTACCTAACTGAGATATTTAACAGCTGTCGAGAGTATGTAATTCACTCCAATGGCTCAGAGTGAGGAAACAGCTAGAATTAAGTCTCTCAAATGGGGATGGGAGGTAGAGGAATTTATACTTCCTGATTCCAAACAAACAAAGATTGAGGACTTTTCCCCATTAACTACCTTAGAATCAGAAGATGCTTTTCAAATACCTACCTCCAACCGCTTTTCTCCAGTAAGTGAAGACACTGATAACCTCTTTGAAATTGTTTACTCTGCTGCACCGCTTGAAGCACAAGACACTGATAACCTCTTTGAAATTGTTTACTCTGCTGCACCACTTGAAGCACATGATAGTGGCTTAATTAACTTTGACACAGCTGAAGACCCTGACTCCTCTGCAACTCATCTCAAGACAGCTAATTTGGCCACTGAAACTTCTGCAGACCTGCTCATTCTGGTGGCTGAATCAATGAGTCTTATTTGCAAAAGGCTCAATTCACTACACTCTAACATATTGAACATTGCTGAGTCATTATCAAGGTTAGTTGGAGGCAAGGATGATAGAAGCAAAGCGTCTCCAACCAATAAGTCCTTTCCCTTGCAGCCATCAGATTCGAACCACCCTAACCCTGACCTTGATCCCTATGAAGCCATAGCGGCTGCGACTGAGACTGAACCCGGTGAAGACGGAGGTCCTGTGCCTGAGTCGGGGCAGTTTAGGGGTAGGGATCCCACTCCCGGCCTTCGGTAGGGCACCACTGGTGCCAGCTCCGGAGGTTAGGAGTCTGGGAGTGCTCCTAGATGCCTCCTTAACAATGGAGGCCCAGGTAGCAGCCACTGCTAAGTCGGTCTTTTACCACCTTCAGCTGATTCAGCAGTTGGTTCCCTTCCTTGGCTGTGGCAACCTAGCTACAGTGATCCATGCGATGGTCACCTCGAGACCATGCGATGGTCACCTTGAGACTAGATAATTTTATAAATTAATAAAAGATCAAATTAAATCTGTATTATGAGTGCTGAGCAGCACTTTACGCCCCCTTACCACGTTTTAAAATAGATAATTCTTTCTATTACAGTGATTGCTCATGAAAATATATCAAGTTTCTGAAATTATCATTGCTTAAATAACTGATAACATTCTCAGTGAAATATAAACATGTTAGTGATATAAAAGAAGGATTCGTCTTCTCCTTGCCACTATGGAAGAAAATATTTTGGAATCTCTTGCTTGGCTTTACTACTAAATTAATTAACATGACAAAGAGTAAGCAGAACTCACCGTGTATTCTGATCCAAGTTTGTCCAGTGGAAAGCAAAGAAAAGGAAAAATAATGGCATCGTTATTTTATTGCTCACATTGCTTTAATTAAAATGCAAAGATGCATTAAGAATTGTGCTGATGCATATAGTATGGACAATATGGACTCTTTGAGATGGAACCTTGTAGGAGTTCAGAATTTCTAATTGCCTTGCAGCTAGTGAGGAGAGGAAGTGAGACATGGATTACTGAAGTACCAGGATAGCAGATACTCCTGCTACAACTTTTGCCTGCCAATGGAATGGGGGCTACAACCCAAAGATGGAGACAGGAGATCTACCTATCATTTCAAAAGTGGTATGGGTTACTCTCTTGTTGGGTGAAGGGCCAAAGGATCTACTACATACAAAAGAAGTCATTTACACTGTAAAACACGTTGCTCAATAAAAGGCAGGAGGGGCTTGTTCTATTTGTTTCTGACTGTTCTAGTTGTATCTTATCTCAGGAATATTCCAGTTTAGGATTAGATAGATAAACAGACAGTCAGATACAAGTGGGGGACCTGCAAGGACTTGTGAGGGAAATCTCATTTTCCCCTGTATCCCCTCCCCCACTGTTTCCTCTTTCCTTCCTGTTGGCATCTCCCATACCATTTTGTTGGCATATTGTATTATATGTATGCAAGATGACAGCCAATGATGCACACATGTCAGATTAAACTGATCTGGGTGACAGGTAAGACTGTCATGTGACAGGGTCACCAGATGCAAGTTGCACTAGGTTGCATCAGCTAATTAACTATGTCACCATGAGTTGGCAAAATGACTCTGATTGGTGCAAGTACTGTATATATGTAATGTAGTCTAGAGGCAAGTGTTCCACACCAGTGGAAGAGTGTATTGCGAAGCACCTTGTCGGTCAGTTCTATGAACCTGGGATACCGCATGGTGGAATGGACTGTGTAAATAACTGTAAATAAAAGCCACTGTATATAGCTCAGATACAGCATCCTGATATCATTATTATTCAGACGTTCTGCGCATGCCGTCACATTTCCCCTTTCCCTGCTTCCTTCTCTCTTTCTCAACCACCAGCCAACCTACCTTTTATCTGCCCCTCACCTACAGCTATACCTATTCTTTACTTATATGCAGGGGTCGTTTCGTAGAAAAAGAGCTAGGGGAACTCATTAGCATAACTCATTAGCATATGACACACCCCCTGCCATCACCGGAAGTGTGTCATAAGGTCACACCCACCACTCAGTCTTAGTCTTAAAGGTTAGTCTTAAAGGTGCTATTTATTAGTCTTAAAGGTGCTATTTGAGCTCTTGGACTATTTTGCAGCAACAGACTAACACAGCTACCTCGGGGAAGCTCCTGGATGGGGCTGGGAGTCCTTGCGGAGGCCACGTGGAGTAGAGTCAGCCAGGCAGAGGGGGAGGACGCCAACTTACCCTCCTGCTTCTTCCTCCTTCTGCAACAGAATGAGGCTGGAAGGAGGGGGCAGCCGGAAGAAGGGGCGGGGCTTCGTTGTGTGCCCCGCCCCCTGCACCTCACCCGGGGGAACTGCGATCCCCCAGGATCCCCCCCGAAATGACTTCTGCTTATATGCCACCTTTCTCCCAATCGGTAGCCTAAGAAGCTTACATCATTCTATTCTCCTCCATTTTACCCCCACAAAAACCCTGTGAAGGAAGTTAGGTTGAGAGTGTATGACTGGCCCAGAATGACCCAGTGAACTTCCATGGCAGAGTGAGGATTCAAACCTGAATCTGCAGGAACCTAGTCTGAAAATCTAACCATCACACCACACAATGATTGTTGTTGAATAGTAGTGAGCAAATGGACTTGTCAGTCCTCCCTCAAATGCCAAAATATCCCTGGAAAGGGCCCTACCCCCTCTCTGTCTTTTACTGACAGAAATCAAGGTTTGAAGACTAGCAATACTATTGTGGCAGCCTAAGAACCCCCATTACACCTTCTAAGTGGGCATGCAGTTCTTAAAACTACAGGAGCTGCATCTATTAATAGGGGGGGCTTACCCCCCAATGTATTTATTCTAGGTTTCAGGGTTTGTTTGGTGGGGGGTTTTTTTGTTTTTTGTTTGCAAATCTGGGGCTTTTCTCAGGTTTGTAAAAATATTAAGCTTTTCTGTCCGTAGATAGGGTCATATTTAGAATATATGTCGATAGGATGCAAGTAAGGTTAAATTTGCCCCCCCGCAAGCCCCATAGACTATTTCCCTAAAGGGAAAAATAGTCCCCCTCCCACATATATCACCCATAAAAAGGGGGTCATCTCAAATTTGCATATGTTACAGGTATGTACAGTAATAAATACCTTTCATGTATAGTCTTTTTCATAGTGATTGTCTTACATTCAGAATATTTTTCCTTTCAGGTAAATACAGTATTCTGGTGTTATACTGAGAAACTGGATACTAATTTCATATTATAGTATATAAGATCAGATATTGTTCTTCCAAGTGAGACAAAACATAAATCAGGCTTAATTCTTAGAGGTCAGAAACCTGTTAAACCATTTTGGCATGTATAGCTTAAACAAACTCTTCACAACAGGTACATGTCCCTGCAAGGCTGGTGTTCTATAACACATTTTTTAAAAAGTAGAATGTTAAAAAGCTATATCAATACAGAACTGGAGATTAGGGGGAACAAAATTTTGGGGGTGCTGGTCACCCTTGGCAGCCCAAGCAAGTAATTAGATTTGTTTTCATTTGATGTTTGGGTTGAGTCTAGAATGGTATCCAAAGGAAGCCCCAGGAGGACCATGGTGGCTCTCAGCAGTCCCACCAGCCTACTAAACAGAGAACACATGAGAACATGCAAGTAATTAGGGGGGAGAGGTGGAGGACACTAATTGAAGCCCAAATAGAATGCATTCCACAGGTTAGGAAAGGCACTGCCAAGTATAAAAGAAGGCCTGTGTGGTTAACAATGCAAGGAACCTGTAAAAAGTAAGGAGGCTTCTTTTAAAAAGTGAAAAGTCTGCTCCAAGCAAATTGAACAGGAGGGGCCACAGGCTCTGGCATAAGAAATGTAAGTCAATAATTAGGCAGGGAAAAAAGAGATTTTGAGGAGTGGGTTGCTAAAGGCATCAAGACAAATAATAAACATTTTTTAAATATATAGCTGGAGCAGGAAACCAGCCAGAGAAGCAGTTGGGCCTTTGGATGATCAAGGAATAAAAGGATTACTAAAGGAAGATGGGGAGATGAAATAGAAGTTCAATGACCTTTTTTTGCTTCTGTATTCACTGTGGAAATTGTGGGGCAGGTACCTATGCCACAGCCCCTATTTTCAGGAAGGGAGTCTGAAGAACTGAGCCAAATTGAGGTGACCAGAGATTAGTTGTAGACCTACTAATGAAATTAAAAACTGATTAAGTCTCCAGGTCCTGATGGTATACACTTGAGAGTTCTTAAGGAACTCAGATGTGAGATAGTTGATCTAATAACCCCTATATGTAACCTATTACTAAATTCAGTCAGTGTACCAGAAGACTGGAGAGTAACAAATGTTACACCAATTTTTAAAAAGAGACTGAGAGGGGAACTAGGAACGTACAGGCCAGTCAGCCTAACGTCTGTCCCAGGCAAATTAGTGGAAAATGTAATCAAAGATACAATTGTTAGGCACATTGAGGGACGAAGCCTGATGAGAGAAAATCAGCATGGCTTCTGCAAAGGGAAGTCCTGCCTCACCAGCCTTTTGGAGTTCTTTGAGAAAGTGAACAAGCATGTAGGCAACAGTGACCCAGTAGACATTATATACCTGAACTTTCAAAAATCTTTTGACAAGGTACCTTACCAAAGACTCCGTCCTGAGTAAACTTAGCAGTCATGGGATAAGAGGATGGGTTCTTTTATGGATTAAAAATTGGCTAAATCACAGGAAGCAAAGAGTAGGAATAAATGGGCAGTTCTCACAATGGAGGGAAGGAACCAGTGGGGTCCCACAAGGATCGGCATTGGGGTCAGTACTATTTAATTTATTCATAAATGATCTGGAACTAGGGGTGAGTAGTGTAGTGGCCAAGTTTGCAAATGCCACAAAATTATTCAGGATGGTGAAAACCAAGGCTGACTGTGAAGAGCTCCAAGAGGATCTCCACAAACTAATGTGGCAAATGAACTTCAGTGTTGGTAAGTGTAAGGTGATGCACACTGGGACAAAGAATCCCAGCTTCAAGTACAGGCTAATGGGGACTGAACTTGCTGAGACTGAGAGGGAAAAAGATTTGGGGTGGTAGTGGATAGCTCAATGAAAGCATCAACCCAGTGTGCTGTAGTGGTGAAAAAGGCAAATTCTTTGTTAGAGATTATTAGGAAATGGATTCAGAATAAAACGGTCAATATTATATTGCCCCAAAAAGTACAAAGGAGGGCAACCAAGAGGAGGGCAACCAAGAGCACCTTCTCTATGAGGAAAGGTGGAAGAGTATCGGGCTTTTCACTTTAAAAAAGAGATTACTAAAGGGGGGAAATGACAGAGATTTATAAAATTATGCATAGGGTGGAGAGAGTTGAAAATATAAGGTTTTTTTCCTCTCCCAAAATACTAGAACTTGAGGCATCCAATGAAAGTGATGGGTAGTAGGTTCAGGATGGACAAAAGAAAATACTACTTTACATAGAGAATGATTAAAATGTGGAATTCACTGCCAGAGGATGTAGTGATGGTCACAGGAATAAACAGCTTTAAAAGAGGATTAGATAGATTCATGGATGATAAGTCTATCAATGACTACAAGCCATGGTGACTGAGGGGAACCTCCACATTCAGAGACACTCAGCCTCTAAATCCCAGAACCAGGAGGCGACATTAGGGGAAGGCTTTGGCCTCTATGCCCTGTTGTTGGCCGTCCAGAGGAACTGGTTGGCCAGTGTGTGAGACAGGATACTGGAATAGATGGACCACTGGTCTGATCCAGCAGGGCTCTTCTTCTGTTTTGATGGAAGGCAAATGGATCCTTCATTCCTCCACCCTTTACTTTATAATATGATAAACACAGTTGAAAGTGGAAGAAAACTGGGCTCACACTGGGTTTAGCCCCCTGCTCCATGAGTAGTAATTTCTGGAACTGTCACGGGCTGGAGTGCAGGCAGGGCAAGAGAGGGATAGTCCGGGTCCAGTCCAAGGTCGAAAGCCAAGAGAGCAAGAAACCAAAAAACCAAGTCCAAAGCACAAACCGTAAGCGTAGTCGTTAAGCCAGAGTCCAGGGGGTCAGGAGCCAAAACACCAGAGTTCAGGGCACGAACGAAGAGCATTGTCATCAGAGCCAGAGTCGAGGAGCCGAGAGTTCAAAGCGGGAATCAGGAACACAGGTGAGGTGAGTCCAAAGCGTCGTCAAGCTGACTAGTTGCTAGCACAAGGGATCGACCGAGAGTGAGGAGCTAAATATCCCTCCGGGCTGTTGTCAATTACCGGCCAGCGCGTGTGTCCCAGCTCCTCTTAGAACTCATGGCTGAGAGACGCGCTTCTCGCCATCGGGATGCCAAATCCCACCGGCGCTGATCTCACAAATGGACCACCAGTGGGGACAAATCAGGGGGGCTGTTTGACGTACGTTGTTCCGCCTCAGCTGTTGCCGGAGCAACCTGTGCGGCTTCATTGGGGCCAGGTGTAGCGTCTGCTGGAATTGGGAGCTCATACTCAGAAGCACTCAGGACTTCTGCTGGGGCCGGGAGCTCATTCTTGGCAGTACTCATGACAGGAACGGTATCCAAAGCAGTTGTTATCAGGAGAAACCTGGGATCAGAAACAGCCTGCCAGAGCAGTTTTTATTTAGGGAAAGATGGACTATATCTGAGCCCAAGACCCCCATCCCACCACACATACAGTTGTTTTGGCCAGTGGAGTAATCATAGTAATCATAGTTACTCTTCACCTCTAAAGCAATGACTGAAGAGACAGGAAAGTCATTGTTAGAGTTTTACAGTAGGATTTGGAAGACTGGGATTCAAATCCACACTTAGCCCTGAAACTCATAGGGTGAGTCTCTGGCCCTGCTATCACTAAGCAAAGTTTGAAGGTTCTGTCCAGCCTATGGTATGATATCATCCATTCTCAGGGCTGTTGTGAAGATAAATGGGAGAACCATATATGCCACCTTGGGCTCCTTGGGGAAAGAACAGGATTGAAATGTCGCTGATAGAGAGAGCCAAATTATACAATATAGTTCTTCACTTGTTTACCCTTGTTTTCCTATGTCCCCCACAGCCATATAGCAGTTGTGGGGAACTGGTTCTAAAGAGAGAGAGAGAGAGAGAGAGAGAGAGAGAGAGAGAACGGGTGCGAAAGAGAGAGAGAGAGAGAGAGAGAGAGAGAGAGAGAGAGAGAGAGAGATCAAAAAGGCTTGGAATAGGGGGAGAAGGGTTCCTGCCTCCGTCCAGTTTTCTCATGCGAAAACTGTTCGGGGGGGGGGGAGTTATGTCATGGATACTTTGTAACATATAGTCTGGTTTAGGAAGAGAGAGTTGGGCATGAAGACCCTGGAGAAACAAACTAGCACATGACGCATGTTCTCAATACATATCAAAAGCCTGTTTGGTGCCTCCAGGAAAAGAGCATCAGAAGAAACTGATGGTGCATCCCATGAACTCTGAAGACACAGTGATGGCTTCCCTGGTTTAATCCTATACAGAGGTTAAGGGAAATTGCAGGAGAGAGGATGTTGGACAGATTGGCTGAAGGTGGCCAGCATTTACCTGTGGCATGCCCAGAGTCATCCCACCTAGTTTTTTTCCTGTTCATTCACTTCCCCATAGCCAAAACAATTCAGTTGCTTCTCTGTGCCTTTCTCTGTTCAGGAATATTCCCTGGTCATACATGAGAAGTGTGCATGTGCAACCATTATCCAGAGCAGTGGAGGAGGGGAGGGGAGGAGGGGATGGTGGCACAGCTTTCCCACTTTCCCCTCCCCTGACAGCAACTTTCTGACACTGGGAAACTTTATTTCAGAATTGTGGGACTAATGTGAACTAACAACCAGCGAGTCAGGAGGCTGCAGTAGTGAGGGCAAAGGGCATAGAATCACCCTTTCTGACTCTTACATCCATTGATATGGCTGTTCATCCACATAGGTCTTGTGACACTACAAATGTGCTTGAACATGGTAGCTAGGGGAGGGGACTGTGGGAAAGATCCACAGTTCTTGCACCTAAGGATAACTGGACTGAACCCAGGGATTTGTTCTACTGTTTATTTGAAGGTGTAACTGCCAATACTATCAGCTAAGGCCCTTACTTTGAGTTATGGATTGGATCCAAAGAATTATGAGTGAAAATCCCTCATGGAACAGATTATTTCCTTTCCATGGAAACCCTCTGCACTTCTTGAAACACCACTCCTGAGGCTCAGAGATCCTTGGTAATGTCATAGGATGCAGGGCAGAGGGCTGTAGGTACGACAAGTGGAAATTATCCTCCTAATTACTCAAGTTCCTCCTCTGCTCAGGTGAGAAATCACACAAGAGGAGAGACGGGTGATTTCTGGCAATTCCCACAGCACCCCCACATCAGATTTCATACAGTTCCTGGGGATTTCCCACTGCAGTGGGGTGCAGGATGGGAGGAGATACTATGAAAAGGAACGGCAGCAAAGACTCTTTCTATGATCAGGGCTTGTCTCACGGTTCTCTGAATTCAATGGTCCTTGATGAAACTAACTTGATGTAACAGTTCAGCACAGAGAGATGTGTGGCAAGAGCCATGTGGGTTATAGGCACTACTGATTGGGACTTAGTGTACAGTCTTATACAATGCAATATCTAAGCAAAAGCTTATAGAGTTGAGCCATACAAAAGTATCTGGATTAGGAGCAGACATTGGAACACGAGGCAACAAGCAATGAAGGCCAAGATACAAATCACCTATGATGTGTTGCTGTTTAGGGATTAGGATTTTTTAAATTGATCAATTAGATGTTTCACATTAGAAATGTCTGCAAACTCAGACAAAAAATAGAATAGCTAAATCCTATTAAAAATGAAGTAACTCATTTGGCTTAAATTCGGGTAGTCATTATTTCATAGTTTTAATCTTCTATTTTCTTTGTTATGGGTGTTTCAGGTATTTTATAGTGATTAAATTAAATTTTATAGTGATTAAATTAAATACATAGTAGCTAAAATTGTACTTTTCAGGAAGTATTGCTGAATTTAAGATCCGCTTTCAGGCTTGTGCTATAGAGCTTCAAAAGACAAATATAAGTTGTATCCTCAAAAAAAGTTCTTCATAATTTGACTCAAAAACTTACCTGTAATTGTGTAAGGATAGTAATTCCAGGCTTTCTCAGTTACATAAAATATTTTGGGAACAACAGCTCTTGCCCAGCTTGGAAGTTTGCTGTAAAGAGAAACATAAGGTTTGGGTAACAAGATAAAGTCCAAAAAACTTAATTTCCCTAAAGAATGAGTACACTTATGAAAGATGTAGTGACTCCTGTCACCTAATGAAACCATGATGAAGGGAAACCAACCTCTTTGTGCAAAAGGCCAAATATAGGTCTGGTATTCACACTGTTGTTATATAAGAGCCCAAACTATATCTTGCCTTCTGTACTTTATACTATTGCAAGCCACAAAGTGGCAGCAGCCCAATAAAAATTATGCTCCCCCCCACACACACACTGCCTCTTCCTTCATCTTCCGAATGACCTCCAAACTGTATGCTGATGTGTCAGGATAATATTTTTCATACTGGCTTGAGACTGAAGTAAATCTTGATACAGTTGCACTGTTAATGAACATCTTTTGATTTTCATGGAAATTTAGGCATGTAT